GCTTTCATTATTATAAGCTCATATGTAAACATGTGTATAATAGCCTTTCTATTTACCAACAGGCCCTCATGCAAAGTAAAAGAATGGAATGCCTATCCAACTACATTCTGTGATGTGTCAACAATCTCAAGCAGCAGTAAGCTAAACCCAGAGGAAACTTGTAGAAGAGGCAGAAAAGGTTGACGGATGCTCTTGGTTCCTCTGCTCCCTTCTGTAAAACTTCAGTCTTCACTGCCAAGATCTTTATGACTTCTGCCTACTCAAATACAGCTAAAGTCAGCCCCACCCCTGTATTCAAAAACTATTCAGGCACAAAAACAGCACTGGCAGACTTGAATGAAGATAAAATAAAGATACACCTTCCTCAGTTATTCAGACAAACAGCACATTTGAAGAATACATTTGAAGTAGTTCCAAAAGTCGCTAGTAACTCAGATAATATCAACTTGTTATAATGAAAAAAACCAACAATATAAACACACATTTAGAAGGCCTGATGTACCTAAAAACAGTTCAGAAAATCAAACTATTACTTTCAGGTTAATATTTTTCTACAGTATTTGACATCATATTGATAAACATCAGCTCATCACATGGTTTTCTATCCTAAGTACTCCAGAAAAGGATCTTTCTGTATGAATCACACAGTGGTGCTTATCACCACATTACTGCACGAGAGATTGAAGCATGTGACAGAAATCAGCTCAGTACATTTTTAACACAGTACATTTGAAAACTTTATTTGAGAAAGAGGAATGGTCTCCATTCCTAATATCATCATTCACATCTCTTAACCAGCCGGTACTCCCAGAAAGTCACCCAGGTTACCTTCCGAACTACAAGAAGCGATACTGAACCAAATTAAAACTTCTTCCAAAACCAAACAAACACAGAAACACACAAATCACGTGCAATGATGTGATTATGTGATGTGCACACTACAAGGCACTTAGAATAGAAAGCAGTTTTGAAGAAAAATAAAGCATCAGGCAGAAGGACGTGAACTTCATTTGTTAAGTACTCTCCAGCTATTATTCAATTCTTACTCACACCCTTTCATACTTTCCAGATGCAGGCTGGCAGCCTAGAGTATATGGCCATCTGTGGTACTCACCAACTAAACTGATGAGATCCAGCTTAGCGTTAAGTAGCCATACATGGAAGTAATTTTTCTTACAAAGCACTGCTCAGGAAACGCAATCTAACATACCAAACTAACATTTGGAGAGAATATGAGAAGGATGTATAGCAATGTCTCACAGCCTCTCTATTTTGGGATGTCTCATAAAAGCTCACTTATAATTCCTGCAGCTACAGCAATAACAGCATTAACTGACAGTATAATTAGAAATTGAGAGAAAGATCTTTTTGTTTGATGGGAATTAATAAACAACATGGCATTGCAGAAATCCATTGGTTTACCAGGCGTACTGAGTACATACTTACATCAGCAGGGAGTCTTTGGAGATTCCTGTCCCAAACTATCAACCTAAGATCCAGTTCACAAATTCGATTCTACAACATCCAGAACTCTTTATGCCAAACACATGTAAGAGCATCACCACCTCTACCCTCTGTACTCTGCAGATGCAACTCAGTACAGGATATGACTCTGCAGTTACAGCTCTAATGCTTCTTCTTTCACAATCATACTGAGTTATCAGTATAAAGCAGTTATTACTGAAATCTTCATTTCTCTGACCACATAACTGGAGTATTTGACAAGTTCATGGAAGGGTTTTAGGAAAAAAAGTATATACATATATATTATTCTAACACGAGACTAATTATAAATAACTTCATAGTTCTCTGGGCATGTTCCTAGCATACCTGGCACATGCACATACAGAAGTAACTAAACTTTGAGCTATTATTTTCTTTCTTCCCCAAAAAAGGGAGCAAACAACCGCTGTGATATCAGCACTTGGTAGAAAAAGCAACCCTGACATATTGATTGCCACCAATTCATACTGCGTCCAAATCAGAACGTGCAAAAAAATGTCACTGTGACTTTCAGGAAATGTAAATAGTCTACAGGATTATTGTGGAAAGGTAAATTTTTATTTTCCCAAATCTATCACCATTACAAAGGAAAAGACCAAGTGATGGAAAGCAACAGGAGCAGTGACTGACCGTGAGGTCCCTGACCAAGGGGCTGTGACATCAGTGAGATGACTAGACAGTCATCTGTCCAGTCAGCCTGGTCTCGTGCCTGGACTGATCTGGAATGTTGAGCCAGGCTTCGAATCAGTGAATGGCTTGGGTTGGAAGGGAGCTCAGGGATCATCAAGTTCCAACTCCTCTGCCACAGCCAGCTCCTAGCTCAAGACCTAGATCATCTCATCTTGCTTGAATGATGTGGGGCTGCTGGCATCAGTTTCCAGTGTCCATCTCTGCAGCACTGCTTGCATTTCCCTAGCCCAGGGTGATGGAGGTGGCATCACACTGGATCTACCAGGCTGCGGGCACAGTCAGGATGATGTCAACTACCTGATCCTTATCTCCACCAGCTTTACTATTACTATGTGGCATGGTGGGTGTAGAACAAACCGAGTGGTTCCCTATGCGAGGATTAGATAAAGACCATCGGGTACTTGGTGAGATCAGACAACAATTACTTGGAGTGCTTTGTCCTAGAGCCTGCATAACACTCAGATGACAGCCTGCAGGATGAGAAGGGGGCTGCAGAGAAAGTGCTCAGCTGAGCTTCCCACCTGTGGTCTTGGCAGCACTTTTCTGGGAGCACCCAGGTGACCTCAAACCCCTGTTCCAGTGGCTGCAGGAGCTGGAAATGGTCTCCGTAACAAATGATGGGAAGTTCTAGCAAGACAGAGCACTACCACATGCTTCCTGTGCATATACAGGCTTGACCAAGTGCAGGCACACCACGGCTCAGGTAGGATGGAAGGTACACATCTTCCTCTCAGTATGCTTATTAGAGAAAATCACCATATTATTGACAAGGTAGCTGGAGCTCCTGCTCACTCTTGTGGTCCTGGTGGAAGCCACAGAATCATATGCTTATTTCCATGATTAGAAAGCAAGAGAGCATACTTCAATTTGGAGCTTGCATTGAAACAGACAGATAAACTGGATAACAGCAACCTATCAATAGTAAAGAGATGTCAGACTTTATATATACCTAGCATCTCTTCCTCGAAATACGACTGAAATTAATGAGTCTCCAGGATAACTTTAAAATAAAAGGAAAAAGAACACATGTTGTCCAAGACAGATCACACAGACAGCAGAAAGACTCACACAGAGCTTAGTGACTATAATAGCAGACATCAAGGGTCACTTTTGATTTGGGTCATCCCTCAGTCCTCAAAACTGCTCTGTCTTCCAGATTGTATATAATCTGGAACCTACATTTATTTGGATGCAAGATACTTCTAGAATACAGCACAGAGTTAGCATAACCAAAAAACAAAAAAAAAAAACAAAAAAAAACAAAACAAAAAAAAAAACAAAAAAAACCCACAAATGAGGTCTTTAAAATCTGAGAATAAGATTAAAGAAGTGAAAAAAGAAAAGGTGATTTACATCTGCCAACTGACATATCAGAAAGCCACACTCAGGGGAAGCCCTGCCTATCAATCAGCTGCTCTCTCACTATATGATGATACACAGCTGTTTGCAGCCAGCACTCATCCTTCTCTCTAAAATATGCTGTGGGCAGAAATCCAAAGTCAAGAAGCCCCTTTCTAAATTCAGTTATGCAGACAACTCCACAGAAGAATTAATTGCCGTTTTATCAAAAGTAACAAATTATGAAAACAAAACAAAAAAAAAAGCCAACAGCTCTTACATTAGCTCTATGATCTCTAATTTAAGACCTGCATTTCAGCTCCAGACAGTAAACCCACCTCATTTCTTTTAAAGACAGCCCCCCACTTTACTACAATATTTCCCCCAAACTCAGGTAAAAGACACAAGAAAACAGAAGCAAAAAGCCTCCCATTTCACACCTATATGCTGTATTTGCTCTGGATGCCCCAAACTTGCATAACTTCCTTACTGGACCTGGGATGGGCCACATCAGGTCTAAGTGTGACCATGTGAAAACAGCAGCTGGGACAGTTACTGCAGCCCTGCCTCGTGCGGGGTCACTGCATCCAGCAGACACGGCCGCCAGAGAGGAACAGGGAGCAGCCAGCAGCAACACCGCATGGGAAGAGCTAGCAGGAACCCTCGAGGCTGCTGCCGGCGAGAGCTGCAAGCCCTGCACAGCAGATTACTATGGCAGAACAGGCCGGGATGAACGCTGCCAGGTAGCTGGCTGTATGCTGTGTTTAAAGAAGCGTTAACGCACCAAAGTAAAAATTACAAAGAAGGGGTATTCAACTTTGGAGCCGTTTCAGCTAAAAACTAAATTAAAAAAAAAAAAAAAAAATGGGAGCTCCAAAGACTTATTAGAAAGCTCCAAACCTCAAAGGAGGGTTTCACTTTCCAAGGAAGCCCTTCACAACCAACCACAGCGTAGCACAAACGAGGCCACCGCGCCCCTCACAGCAAAGCCCTGAAACCACTCGAACCACCACCTCGTCTTTACGTTACCGTTAAGGGACGCGTCATTTAAAGATGTGGAACAGCTCGGACACTGATTTTGTCACCTCCGATCTCAACTTTCTCAGAAAACACTCCTTCCCCAGTGCGCATCACGGGGAGCTCGCAACATCTGCGGGTAACGCGCGGATCCCCGCGGTGAAGTTCACCGGGCGGGGGAAGCCCTGCCTGCTATCGGGCCGGGGGGCAGCGCCGGGCTCGGGCTGACGGCGGCGGGGCCGGGACGCCGGGCGGAGGGACGCTCCCGGGCTCGCCCAACATCGCACAGCGCAGGACGTGCCCCCCGGGTACGGCATCCCCGCAGCCGGCCGCTGCCCGCAGAAGGGGCCGAGGCCCCGGGCCGCCCCGCAGCCGCGATGCCCGCCGGGCTCGGAGCCGCCTCGGAAGAGCCGAAGGGTGTCGGCCGCGCGCTCCCTCCCTCGCTCACTCACCCACGCAGGCAGATCGGCGGAGGAGACGCTGAGCCGCACCGCCTCCTCCTCGTCCTCCAGGAAGGCGAGCGCCCGGCCCAGGCGGGAGGTCTTGCCGCCGCGGTGCCGCCGGATCCAGAAGAGCCCACACAGGGCGATGAGCACCCAGCTGAAGCTCAGCCCCAGGTAGCCCAGCACGTACACGGGGAAGATCAGCACGAAGCTCCTGGCGAACTGCGACACCAAGCCGGTCACGTCCACGCTCAGCATCGAAGGCGGCGGCGGCGGCTCCGGCCCCGCGTCTCCCCCGACCGCCGCTTTCTCCGTCGCGGCGGGAGTCCCCGCTCCGGAGCACTGCTTCTCCGCGGCCCCGCTCATGCTCTACCGCGGCGGCGGCTCCTACGAATGCGGCCGCTCCTCCCGCTGCCGCTCCTCCTCCTCGGGCGCTGGCTGCGAGCGAGCAGGGGGCAGGGCGGCGGCGGCGCCTCGCATCCTGCGCCCGGCCCCGCTCGCCGCGCACCGACACCAACCGCCGCCCGCTTCCGGGTTCGGGGCGGCCCGGCCCCAGACGCCGACCGCCGCCGCGGGCTGCGCGGCCACCAGAGGGAGCCTCGCCCTCAGCCGCCGCCATTGGCGCCCGGCGCGACGCGGCCGTCCCCTCCCAGCCGCCTCCCGCAGACCCCGCCGCCCGGTTCGGTGCCCGGCCGGGTCTGTGTGACGGAGCTCCTGCTCGAGGGCTCGCCTCGGTGATAGCGCGTACTTCCTCACACCGCAGCCTCTGCCCGCTCGCTGCAGTCACGCACATAGTTTGGGAAGGTTCCATCAGTCATAGCGTTCTGTAGAGAGCTTCTTGGTTTACTTCGTTGGGGAGGTTATTAAGAGACGGAGTAATAAACGAGGAACCAAAGGCTGGTCACTCCCCACCCGAGGTGCGGGAGGTGTTTCCTGAAGCCCTGCTCGCATCCCCACACAGAGCTGGCTCCTCTGTCATCTCGTTAAGGTACAGCAGTTCCAGGGGATTACACAAACCCTGATCCGTGGAACTAAGAAATCCTGATTTGCTACAGGTTTGCATCTCATATCTCTTTGTGACAGTAACATTCACTTCTCTCATCCTCCTCCTCCCATTTCTTTATCTCTTCAATAGTTTCAATATACTCACCAGTGTTGCTTATCAGGTTGCTGCTGTGCAGCTGCTGATTAACCTCACTTGTTTTTTTTTTTTTATCCCTTTTGGCTACAAATAGCCAACCTCTGCCTCAGCAGCAGCACCAAATCAGGGGTTGTTTTCCGCTAATAATATTCATGGAAGCTGTAGGCTTTGAGACCAACATTCGCAGGTAAGTAGAGGGGAGAGCAAATCAGGCCAATAGGCTGAAAAGTTATGCAAACACAACACAAATGGACAAATAGGGAAGCTTTATTATTGGCTTCATTTCCTTAAGAGATGAAGACAACTTCATGTCAGTTATCCAGGGAAATAGAGTCAGAAAGGAAATGGCACAAAAGTAAAAGGTGTTTAACCGGTGCTGCACAGAATTGCAAAGAATCCAGATCTCTCTGACTGAACATGTTGTTCCTGTATCATCTTCTCGAGCTCCCTCCATGCCTACACTTGGGCTCAATGGATGACATGAAGAAAAACTCCTTCAAGCCATAAGCTCACACTGCTCTTTCTTAACTTACTCTTTTCCATCGACGGTACATGTTCTTCACTTGTATAATTAAGTTACGGTCAGGATAACAATTCAGAAAGACCAAATGCCACAAAAAGGAACAAAATTAACATTTACAATGAACTTGGAAAATGAGAGTTTTCTTATTCTCAGAGAATAAAAAACTTTGCTGCTGCAACACTTGGGAGACAGAAGGACAGCCTAATACCCTATGAAAGCTTGTTACCTTAAGCTGGGTGTGCTGAATATGGCTGTGACCCATTTGGATACCAATCACATCTAACTAATAAGTGTGGGTTGGGTTTGCTTGTTTGTTTTGGCCTTTTTTTCCCCATCTACTATATTCCTAAGTATCGTTTTGTTTATATATAGGCTTTCTTGTGAATTCTCCAGTGCTGAGGTTTAGTCCCAAGAGAGGCATTCTTTGATGGCTGCTTCAATTACTGCAAATATGGTCATTATTCTCTCTTTTTTTTTCAAGCCCTTGGTTATACATCTTGGACTTAAGTGCTCTATTTGACTTCTCTATCTAGTTTCACAGGAAACAGAATATACCTGTTCCATAAACCAAAATGAAATTTCAAAACATTAAAAAAAAAAAAAAGTGATTGAATTAGAATGACATTTTGCCAACTAACACTTTACCATATGCTGCATCTTGTTCTCCTATCCTTTATGTCTCAGTGCGAATTCTGCGAATGAGCTGGATATAGAACTCACTGAGCAGCACCCTGTGCACTCAGCAATACACATGAGAAAAATCTGAATCCTGTAGTAGCATTTGGTATGACAAACACAATTGTAGGCATGACAGCTGAGCATTGATCTTGGGCAGACTAATGAATTAGTCAGTACAGAACTCTGGTTATTCAGAAGTAAAGGTGATACGGTGCCAATCAAGTAGGCAAATGAAAGCAGCATCTTCTAAATTTAATTTGATTCTGTTGATGCTACATTTACCTGTAGCATCAACAGAAAGTTCGGATGATAAAGAGGTTACTACTGACTTCTTAAAGCTTCTGTAGATAACTGATCTGGCTCCACACAGCATTTGGATGAAGAAAATGGATGGTATGAAATTAGTATGCTATTATTATAATAGGAACAACAGAATCTTATTAAGATACAAACTCTGCTGCTGGAGGATAAGTTCAAGTCACTTATTTTGTTAGGGCATTTGATACAATGTTCCTGACAAACACAAGTTGTTTGTTTGCTCTTATCTTTTTGGTGCTTCAAATTATTTAATGATTTGCTCCAGCATCTTGTTTTGTTAAGCTAACTCATCTGCTTCCTGATCTTATTTCTAATACTTCCAATAGCAGTCTTCTTGAATGCATCAAGAACTCTTGAAGATAGACACAGCACAGAGACCACTCTGACTTTGCCTTAAGTGAATTATATCAGCTAGAGAACTGATTATATTTATCTCAGATAGTATTTTTTTCTTCTCACCACCACCTTAGTAGGCCTGTTGCTTCCTTGGAATTTTAATGAATGCCTTTTGATTGCAGTATTTCTTTACACACATTCTTAGTCATTTGTCTATGTTCTCTCTTTTCATATGATTCCTTTTTTTTGTTTTTCAAAACAGCTTTCCTCGGAGTCAAATGTGGGATAACAGTAGTTAGCCATGATGCTTTTTTCTCCCAGTAAGTAGCAATGCTATTCTTCAGTGTAACTGATCTTAATTATAAATCTCAATTTTTTTTTGAGGGTGAGAAAAATGGTAAAATTTAGTTTGTGTATACTGAATGGAAATCTGAGAATGTTTACTCAGATGGGAGTTAGATTTGGAATTAGTACAGAAAATACATTTTTACTGATGTGTGCTTCTGTTTTCAATTTTGTTCAGCTATCTCAAGCTGCTTCAGATCATCTAGCATAAATTATTATTTATTGTTGCTGATACTATTGCATGATATTTATATGTACTTTCTACTATAATGTAATTCTTAAGTTTTTACCTTGATCACTACCTTATCTCCCCCATCAGGACTCTTACAAGTTATAGTTCAAAACTAAAGATGCAGGTCACTTCAGAGGTCCACATTTTTTCTCTTTCTGTTCAAAACCCTGGAGGTGTGACTACCATAAGAATGTTGAACACTTTGTAAGATGTCACTTATGCACCTATGTTGCTATTATTAGCATTTGAGTTTTCTTCTCATCTTTAGCAGAGATTGGTTTAAAAAAAAACAAAACAAATCCAGCTATGTCCTGGATTCTAGAAGTCTCTTCCTTAATACAAAACCTATAATTTTCTTTTTTTTTTTGTTTTTATAATATTTTAAATCATGGTGTAAGGGTGCCATGTTGTCCCTATGAGGGTACATATTTCCAGTAATTCTTTTGGTGTAATTCTGTAGATCCTGAACACATCAGAAGCAATACTACCTCATAGGATTAGAGGAACATGTAGAAGCTAAAGACTTATTAAAATACCCAGGGTTACCAAAAGCCTTGTTTACAGCACATTTTTCTTTCCAGAAGAAGCTTGGACATCTTTATATGCTATCTAGTAATACAACAGACATGTAAATTTTTTTGCCTTTATTCACATGACCAACATCTGTCTTCATAAAAACAGAACTACTAACATTTTTTCCCACTAGATTAATGAGAACCTGCAGTTTATTTTGATAAAGAACAGAAACACAAAAACATGCACAAATTTTAGTTCTGTTATTCTGCAGCTGTTACTTCAATCTGTGCTCTTGAGCAGCAGTTAAGATTCAGTTTGATCACTGGCTTTGAGTTTTGAAAAGGTCTGTACAGACCCTCTAGTGGTGCCTTCCCACATCTGTGATTTTTCTCCTGTCATAAAGCTGCATGACTGGTATGCTTTGCTAGGGAGAACAAAAAGCTGTTAGTAGCCAGAACTGCTGGATTTTATTTTAGTAACCAATACATATGTGCATTCTAAAAAAATAGATGGTACATCCAAAAGTTGAAATAAAAGATACTTTGTTCTGTCTAATGTTTGGTATTATTGCTGTCATGTTTGGTGGTTTTAGTTATATGTAATTGCTATATTGTTATTAAAAATAGAAGTTCAAATTGACTACACGAAGGTAGTTTTTGTCCTTGAGGCTCTGTATGGAAGACACCACCTCTGTAGAGTATCCTTTACTAAGCAAATGCCTATTTCCATGCATTTATAACACCATCACCACCTTGGCTAAAAAAGCTTTTTGAGTTAATTCAAGTTGGCTTGCAAGTACATCTCTATTTGTTCAGGAAGGAAGATAACAAAATGCTTATGGATCATCATTGCTTGGCCAAAGACTGCTAAATTATTCACATGGATATTTATAAATAGTTTAGTATCCATAGATACTCATATTTAGTGGATGTAATGTAGGTCTTAAGTTTTAAGAGGGGAGACGTAGATAAGATGTGAGGGAATTTTTTCACTGTGAGGGCGGTGAGGCACTGGCACAGCTGCCCAGAGGAGCTGTGGATGCCCCATCGCTGGAGGTGTTTGAGGCCAGGCTGGACAGGGCTCTGTGCAGCCTGAGCTGGTGCCTGATGGAGTGGATGGCAACCCTGCCCACGGCAGGGGACTGGAGCAGGATGATCTTTGAGGTCCCTCCCAAGCCATTCTATGATCCTACGTCATACTTAATTTTTTAAAAATAAAATATCAAGATTTTCTTCTCTGAATTGCTTCCTTGATTTGCTTTTCTGCTACATGATGAAAGACTTCATATTCCAGACAGCAAGGCAAACTTTA